AGCCTTCCAAGCTCCCCAAACTCGAACCTATTGCTATTAGATTGACATGAAATTATGCCAAAATTGTGTGCGTGAATGGGTGCGTGTTGCGTGTCTGTGTGTGTTACGTAACGGGTACTTATGCGGGTGTTACGTAATTGTCCCCAAGCTTTTAAAGGGGTATTTTGTTTTCGCCAAGAGATTAAGATATATAGATTTAAATATTTCCAGTCCACCATCTAAAACCCAGTGTCAAGAAACCTATTTTGAACGTAATATCTTAAGGGGGAGCAGAGGAAAAATTCCTAATCTTCGATTTGATTTTAGAGGGTTATTGTATGAGTAACTACACGATATATTCAAGCATAGACATTAATCAGAAATATAAAACAATAAAGTTTCCTCGATAGATAAAAATCAGGAAATGACCTCTAATTTTCACATTTATTCGATTTATCCTCGAAATGCTACAGGTTATTAGGACAAAAATAGATAATTAATTATATTTATGCATGATCGACAACTATCACTACGGATTTTTTTTAATCCCTTTATTTTGGAGTTATTCCGCTAAAACGAATTTGGTACTTTTAATGCGCAAAATTCAACATCTCCTGTCGCATGTCACGCGAACTTCAGGCATATATTTGTTTCAAAACTTTTTTGGCGTGCTCCCTCTTAATAGACGCTAAAACATTATTTAAACACTTAATACCTAAATTGCGATTCAAATAAGGAATGCACTTAAAATCACTCTCTAAATTTGCATCTGAAACACCCAACCGGTACACTTTATAATCATGTTAACTTCATACAAACTTTATAAATGGCAAAGTACCACATCCTCTTGATATTAAAGCTGCCCGGAGCTAAAGCCATAAATAGATGTATCTTGCAACTGACGAAATCAAGATGTATTTGAATGCATTTTATAACGGAGTTTGGTGTTAGTAAAAAGTTGTTTATTCTATAGAGGCGTTTTATCCAGCTTTAAACTTAATGGGCAATAAATTCAGGTCACCTTCAAAATATTTTTCATACTAGAAAGCGACAAGACAAACAATGGTAGTAAGCGACATGCCTGTCCACGGCAGTTTTTTTTTTATAATATCATATATATCATAAGTCGTGCGCCTGATGGTAAGCTACATACCTATCCATAACAGTGCAGTGCCACTCAGAGCTGTAAATCGCAAAGATTTGAGGGGCACTGCCACTGAGCTCTACCGCTAATATTATGTGATATTAGAGCCGTAACCACCAACTCTAGGATAGAACATTAGGTAGAAAGTATGTATTTGAATGCATACCCTTTTACCCACGATTGCATACTGTTATTTGAATGACTCTATAACATTAAATACACGCTTCAATTATTGAACCACAGCAAATAGTCTTATCAATTAAACTATATATCCCTTTGTTAGGCAGTGGTCTGTTCCAAAGATGATTCGTTAAGGAATGTAAATTTCATAATAATAATTACTAAAAAACTGATTTGTGTAAATTAAATTATCTTTTTTGATTCTTTAATCTATGTGCGTTTTAGGAAACCGTTAATATGCATTAAGTTATGTAAAGAAATAAATACGCTTGAAAGAGATTGTGTAGATATTCTGATATGCAAAGTGTTCTCACGATGTTTTCTCAATTGGAACTGTAATAGTAAAAATACTGTAGCAAGTTAAAATGTTGGTTTACTACATATTATATTTATTATGAAAGACCATTTATACCACTTGTCCGTTACGATAAAAGGTCAAAACACTCAGGATATCTAATATAAAGGACATGTTTGTCCGCCTCACATTCCCGACTCAGTTTCGAAGAAAGCTTCAACAAGGATGTCAGTACTTATGGCATTTTATTAACATTGATGAAATTTTACGACTTCGTGTGGTAGTTGAAATTAACAGATCGATTCATAGTACTGTTTTACGGACTTAGTTAAAATTGTCGTATAATGGATCGTTTAATCGAAATCAAAAGACGATAGACGTCATTATTTTTTCATAATTGTGAATATTGTAATTCAACATTCTTTTTGTAATTCAACAAGCGTTTTTTTTTATGATCCCAAGTCACGGGAACAAGTCGTTCACTTGGTGGTAAGCGACACGCCTGATCATAGCAATTGCAATGCTACTCAGAGCTTTAAATCGCAAAGACCTGAGGGTCACTTCGCCTCTCACCCTGAGACGTAAGTAGACTAGTCCCATATCGTCGCTTAGCAAACAACACCGCTTAAGTAATTTCAAGTAATTTTATAGGAACGTGAAACACCTGCATACATTATTGTATAAAAAATTTAAACTTTTAACTTAATTACTAACAATAGGTAAAAAAATCTTATTATATAAATCTTATTATATATAATATTCGACTTTGATATAAGCAATTGTCGTGTGAATAAATTGGTACTGCATCCAATTATGTAAATAAGTAAACTCATAAAATCGTGTACGCAGCTCTTATTTAAACCGATTAGAACTCAATCAAGTTCCTTATAGAGTGCATATTGAAATGTTATGAAGGATAATAATGCTAATTACTTGTCCGACAGCGGTTGACTTAAAAATCAAGTCGGTCAAGTGCGTCGGCGCCTAGCCTATATCATACTTATTTTTCCTACAGGATGGTTACAAACATTACATGAAAAACAAACATTGTGAGCGTAAAGCCGTAAACAAAATAGGATTGAGAACACGTCATAAGTACATTTATATGTATAAAGAAGCCGGTTACAATTATGCATGGAATACTTAATCAAGCATTTTTTACGATTTTCCTTTTTTTCTTCAATCATCATCATTAACCCGTCCCACTGCTGAGCACGGATCTTCTCAGACGAGGATTTTGGCCATAGTCCGCCACTCAGGCCCAATGTAGGTCGGGGACTTGAACGTTTTCCGAAAGTTGTGAACCTTTTTCGACAAGCAGGTTTCATCGCGAGTTTTTCACCAAAAAACTCACGATAAATTTGAAATTAAATTTTGCACATAAATTCCGAGAAACACAGAGGTGCGAGCCCAGATTCGCACCCTCAGCCTCTGTTTAAGTGGCAGCAGGTCAAACCATTAGGCTACCACGGTAACTTCTTCAATAGTTGTACAATAACCCTTGAAAATATTGCTTTAAGTTATACAGGGTAATTGTAAAAGACTGACAACCTCGCAAAACGATACTGCCCTGCTAAGCCGAAAGGCGCTGTCTCTTGAGATACGCCCTATTAGTTTTTTCTATACCATTCAATAGCTATGATAATTTCGCTTCTAATGGAAAAATAGAAATAGCACTATCTAACTTAAAACAATTAAAAAACCACTAAGAAGTTAGTAAGTATTTTTATATGTCAATTTTTGAAACCTTTCATTATAATCAAAATAGCGGTATCTCACAAAATATGTATAATGGTACATAATAATAGTAAATAGTAATAGTAATTTATGTATGTCTATAAATCTATTAGTAAAAAACACGTATAAATAAGTCTTAAGATCTTCAAAAAGATTTATTTTTGAAGGTGCGAAAATACAATTTACAAAAAATCGATTTTCTCAAAACTTACTCATGTTACTTAATGTAACGTAATGTAATAAATAATGTTAAATTTATTAATGGGTGTATACCTACATAAAGAAACATGTTATTTTATTATTTATTTACTTTATAACAGTTGCAGTGCCACTCAGAGCTGTAAATCGCAAAGATTTGAGGGGCACTGCCACTGTGCCGGTCACCCTGAGACGTAAGTTGACAAGTCTCATGTGCCTGTAATTTCACCAGGACTCCTTACCCTTCATAATCAGAAAGGCGGTAGAAATAGGTAAGGTGACAGTGCTTACCTGGACGAATTCTTTCAGAAGGAGCTCTACTGCTACTAACTTTTAAGTTTTTTTTTTACTATCTGACAATTTGTAGTCTGTATTTAGTAGTAAGACGACTCCCACCTCCGTCTTGCGTTTTGCATCGGACTGGCATTCACGTTAACGCTTTCTTTTGTTATTTAAATATTTTTTTGTACGAAAGTAAAATCAGGCTTATTGTCAAAAATCATGTAACAAAAATTGTTACTTATGATACTAGTAAAGTAGTCCTGAGACGTATTAGTATTATAATCTTGCTAGAAACAAATCACTAGCACACTACGATCTCGCTGACTCAATGGTTTGCGCTAGGCGCTGTGTGAGGACGTCACGGGTTCGCTTCCTGGTAGGACTAGTTTGGTAAATGAATTTTTCTAAGTCGGTTCTGATTTGAGTATTCTGGGTTGGTGTTGTTGTCTGGCACAGTGTTAAATCTGTGTCTTGAGTGATCTGAAGACAAAATTTTTAGTACTAAATTAGTTACACTTGTTCTATTCAATATAAATCACCAAGATCTTAATAAATGAAGATCATTTATAAAATAAATCGTGATGCGAACCACAATACAATAGTGTACTCTTTATTATATCTTTACTTTAGTAGCAGCAGTAGAGCTGATTTGTGAAAGAAATCGTCCAGGGAAGTACTGCTATCTTACATATTTCTGCCGCCAAGCAGTAATATGAGGATTACTGCGTTCCGGTTTTGAAGGATAAGGGTGCTGGTGAAATTATAGACACATGGGACTTGTCAACTTATGTCTCAAAGTGACGGGCACAATGCCCTTCAGATTTTTGCGACTTAAAACTCTGAATAGCACTGCAACTATCATGGATAGACGTGTCGCTTACTACAACTTGTTCGTCTGTTTGGTATCATAAAAAACTGTACAGTTCGTATATTCTACTTTATACACCCCGAGTCCACTGTACCAGGGCAGTTTCTCTATACGCATCCTTGATTAAGCAATTCTTATCGCAACGCATTCCATATACATATGAATGCTAATAAATTCGTCATACCTACACTAAAGACGTCTACAAACAGTCGACGTTCTCCCTGTGCCGCCACCATATTATGTTTGACTCATTCCAAACGTCACACTGAGTCATGACCACGTTCTCAAGCATTAATTTTATGTGTTTTTTCTTATAGGTGTTACCTGGTGGCTGATTCATCCGCCATGGGGCTAACAAGTACCGGAATCGAAGACAGTTATAAATTTTTTCCTCGTAAGGTTTGTAACTTTCTGCGGGGGACTAATTCTTGAATTCATAGTTACCAGTAGCAGATAAAACTATGTACTAAATTGGTTTGATATATAAAAGCCAAAAATACTTGTTCAACGTCTATACAAAACACAGTAGACCGATGATCAGCTGTTATAACTGTTCTTTATTTGTAAAATAATAAGTAGGACAATATGCCTTCTGTCTAATAAAAGATATAGTAGTTCAAGTAGATTCGATTCAAGAATATGTTGTCCGGTGTGCCACATTAGCTATTTCACACTGCCTATGAGCAGCAGTATCATGAGTGTAAATTGCACTCGTCCGGTACTCGCGTCGCAAATTAGACTTATCTATATACATAGTATGAAGTGTGCTAGCGTTTATAGACTACCCTGAGAATTGTAATCGCTAAAAATTATATTACAATGATTAAATTGTTATGTTATTAAATCTTCTTTAGAACTTTGGTAAAGAACGTAAGGTGCAAAATTGAACAGGACATTTTGATTTGATTGAATTTAATGTTGCTTACGTCATCATTGTTTACTTACTATACAAATGACTGTGTGCGTTGCCTTACGTATCTTGAGAGTATAAATGGTTCAAAAAAGAAGCAATATCTGATACTGTATTACGAATCTTCGTTGTGAATTTCGAAAACCGAATCTCATAAGTTCATGACTAATAGCGATCAGTTCTCAACGAAGTAATGCCTCTGTGATATTAAAGACGATTAAGTTTAGTTCGAATGAGTCATTGAGTCGTAATCAAACAGCTAGTTCGATTACTAATCTATAATAAATATGGTTACGTATTGACTCTTGAACTCATTATGTATACAGGGTTTCAAAAGAATTCATAAAACTTAAGGAGCTCATTCAAATCAATACAATACATGTATGTTAAGTTTATTGCATACAGAAACAAAACATACAAACAATCAAAAGGTAAAAGATGTTTAGTTTTATGAATTTGAACAAATGATTTAACGAGAGGTTGTTCAAATCTTATACATTAAGAAGAATGAGGCCCTCAAGTTTTTATTTGACCCTTTTTGTACAGCTTGTATAGGATATTTTTCAATATTAAAAGAAAAACACATTGTTATTATGTAGAATAAAGTAAGTACTACCGCATTTTTCTTAGTGACTATAAATGGTATACTGTATAATATACCTCTTCAACGTATCTTAAGTTATTGTTACTTGATTATAAAGACCATTAACTAATAAAGAAAAATACAGCAAGTCTGTTCACTTTTATGTATTTCAATTTATGAACATACAAATGCTCAAATGGTTCTTTGTAAGGTTGAATATGAAAGAGATTTTTGTAATTACTTCCTTTTAGAAACAATAAGCATTTATGTTAATATTTTTATAGATAATTTAGTAAATATATCTCTTAGCTAAGCCCTGAAATGTGTAACTAAGTTTACGGGCCGAAGTTGTTACTTGTACGAAGTTGTCATCTCTATAAAAATCTACAACAGTAGAATCTACTGTTGTATATTTTTATAGAGACAATGTTAGTGGGTGTACAAAAACTGCCAATGATAAAACGTGAAGTTGATAGCAGAGCGATTACGAGAGAAAGGCGAGAAAGTGGGTTGTTATAGTGAATTTTATTCATGTGTGGGTGATTTAGCCCGTGGGCAGTAGAATCCCGAGACATCTGTACAGTTTACATCCATTATGAAAGTTGATGCTTTTGTGAGACGTAGATTTATTATGGCATGTTTAACCTCCTAAGACCCAGCAAATTACAATGGCAAAAGCGCTAAACGCCCAATGTATATTAATACGTCAACAAAAAGCTTTTTTATATACTTTTTGTATGTATGTTTCAAAGTTTTCAATATGGAACTTATTCATAAAGAAGGATATATTTAAGTTAAAAAGCAAAAAATGATATTTTGTCTTGCAACAACTTACGTGGGAGATATCGATAGTATACTAAATATGTATGCCCAAACATTTTTTTTATGATAAGTAATGGGACGAACAAGTCGTACGCGTGGTTTAAGCTACTCGCCTTTCCATAACAGTTGCAGTGCCCCTCAAGAGTTTTAAATCACAAACCCGTCACCCTGAGACATAAGTTGACAAGTCCCAGCACCCTTACCCTTCAAAACCGGAACACAGTAATGCTGACATTACTGCTTGGCTGCAGAAATATGTAAGGTGGCAGTACTACCCTGGACGAACTCTTTCACAAGGGGCTCTACTGCTACTAAAAACATGCGTCAGGCCTAAGCAATGCCCTCAATTTTGAAACACAACCGGGGTTTTTTTTAATATTTTTATAATATACAGTGATATTTTAATTATAATATACACTGGGTGTTTACTTGATTACAAGAATACCATTGTCTAGATCTGAATAACTTCATTTATTATGTATACATTTTTATGTACACGGCGCCTTAAAAGGTTAAAATCTGTCATGACGGGCACGAATATTCTTGAGCCAGGCACAGTGTTAGTGCAATCACATGTAACACGAAGAATATTCGATAATCAATCAACCTAATCAAAACACGATGTTCGGTATTGGCTACATGAAAGTTAAATAAATTTTTATATTTTAGAGTTTTAATTAATTGTAGTTACAACACGTAACACTTGTGCAAAACATTATGTACTTACCTGTTCAAGTTCGTCATGATTCAGACAGTGCACTTGACGAAAATAGTTACCGCCGCAAATAGTACATAAAATAAAAGGAAATAAAACAAAATCAGAACGATTTTATTCGATATGCAATACACCAAAAAGGCAATATAAAATAATACTGAAATGAGCATGTTAAAAGGGTTTATGGCTCAGATATTGAGAGCCATGGATTATAGACTTCGCTGAAATTATTACGCTAGAGCGTAGCTTCCGAGTAGAGCTCCTTGTGAAAGAGTTAGAGAAGTACTGCCACCTTACCTATTTCAGCCGCCAAGCAGTAACGTCAGCATTACCGTGTTCCGGTTGTGAAGGGTGCTGGTGAAATTACAGGCACATGGGTCTTGTCAACTTATGTCTCAGGGTGACAGACGTAGTGGCAGTGCCCCTCAGATTTTTGCGATTTAAAGCTCTGAGTGGCACTGCAACTGTTATAGACAGGCGTGCAGCTTACCACCAGGCGCACGACTTCTTCGTCCCGTCAAGCTGTAAAAAAATATCTTGTGCTATACAAACACATTATAATATGGCTTTATATGGCGTAGGTATAGTAGAATGAGCTGCTCTTCCCTCCGTAGTCTGATGGAACAACACACATTCTGTGACTAACAGATTTACTCCGAACTCCAATACGCTCTGGTATATTTATTTAACGTCGCTATAATTCAAATTAAACGTAACATATCTCCGTGTGTATTGTTGTGTATTAGTAATTTGTTTATTTGAGAGTTGTGGTCATGATGTCACGTTTGATTCTGTCTAAGGAAATAGTGTACATTTTACTATAAGTTGAAGGACTAATTAACACTTTATTAAACCTTGAGCATGTGTGAAAATGTGGGACAATATTATGTATCCCATATCGCTTATGTTGTAAATGCTACTACAGTTCTTATTCTACATATAAACAGATATCATGTAGGTACTCTACGTATTTGGTATCTGTAAGTAACAAAGTACAGAGCTGTCCTTTGTCTCATAATATACCTAATTTTGAAGTACTTTATAAATTACTATGTTAAATAATATTATGCCAAGTTTTAGATCTTAATCAGAAAGTTCCTGTTACATTTATTTATTGGTTCTGAATTGTGAATAATCGATCCGAGTTTGAAATGTTTGGAATGTAATTTTTGTTTTTTTTTATTATTGTAATTCGGCCAAAGTGATTTTAGCAGTATTTGAAGAAAATTGAGCATAGTTTTTTTTTTTTTTCATATAAGTTCTGATTGTTTTGTGTAATTTATAATATGATTATTTAAGTCTGATATATTATTTCACAATTACAAAATTCATTTCTAAAACTGACAAACCAAACATTCATTTTTCACCTTCAAATAGTAGTAAAGCAGTAGTAAACAATAAGATACTAATGATTAAATATTTAAAGTTTTCTTTTTGTAAATAAAATGGTTTCCTGCAAACCTATTCATCTTAAGTGTATATAACTGTTTATTATTTAAGTATTTCATGCATTAACATCACATTATTTTAAGATCTGTTTAAAGCAATTCCCCGTTTTGTATTTTTGTAAATTGTGATCTAATTTTTAAGCTAGTCAATAAAACATCGAAAACTACTGATATGTTTCTATTATATTCCTAGTTCCTCTTTACTTCACTTACAAAAGGACACATTTAGTACGGAAATGATTATGTATGTATTGATCTTTGGCTACAAAGCTGCTTAAAAACTGCTTAAAAAGGAACAAATAATATTATTTAGAATCTCATCAATCTCATCAATGTAAGGCTCAATTTATATTACGAGGGAACAGAATGGACGGAATGTGCGAGCGCTTTTAGCTCGTATCTGGTTTGTACGTTATATGTATAATTGACCATAGTTCATTATGCTATACGTGTGGCGCACTATAAGTTTCCGGAATGAATAACAAATAAATACTACTACTACAAATGGTCAGAAATGAATTTATTGCTTCTCAAAATATTCTCCGTTAGCGTTAATTCGCTTTTTCATGCGAATGAACCCATTTTGAAAACATTTAAGCCGCTCCTCCGTGACAATCTCTGAAACATATTTTTCATACTCGTCGACAGCCTCTTCAGGTGATGAAAATCGTTGATGAGAATCGTTGCCTATGCCTAGATGCCCGAATCTTATGGTATGTCACATGCCTGTCTGTTTTGATCATACGGCGCACAGCATCGATGTTTTTGTTGTTCACAGTAGTGGACACCAAAACGAACTCACCACGAAATTCGTCTCAATACGCCTAGCTGGGAACGAAGGTCATTCCTGCCTCGAGAAGTTATGACTAACTAATCAACAGCACGTCAAACTGTACACTTTTGTTTTGTTTTCGAATATCGCCTTCGTATTATTTTTCAAGTGGGTCCAAAATGAAACAAACACTTCCAAAATTAAATAACTTCTTTTATTTCAGAGTCAAATTTGTTTCCTACATAAACGTGTTAGAATGACAGACGCCGTAACATTAATTGACCATTACACTAATGGTACGCGCCGTGGCTGATCTCTGGTGCATGAGTGGAGGGCCGGTGAATATTCATACTACTGTTCTCGCGCGTCACGTTTCGCAGAAATCCAATGCACCACATGTGTTACAAACTGACAAACCATGTGCTTGATGATTTAATTAGCCTCTGATACGGTTCGAGCATTTATTTATAACTTAATGCAACGCGTTCAAACAAGTCAAGTTTCATTTGTACAGAAAGTGACGCGCGACGCAACAGAACTACACAATTAACTACTACCGGTTTTAATACAGACTTTTATTATTAATAATAGTATAGATTTAATGTTATTAACTATGCAATTAAGACCACAAATACCCATGAACCAAAACGACGCGATCCTCTGACCATTCAACTCATGGAGATAACAATAACTACACTCCACTACCGAGCACCGCCGAGCTACATAGCGAACGCGTGACAATGTAGCACGAAATGGTAAGAAATCCACAGCCACTCGTCTTCACTATAGAGCTCGAGGCTCGCTACGATGTCATTGCATCCCAACTACAATCCAATGCCACAAACACCTAATTTTAATCAATAATCAACAATTATCGCCCACCTCTATCACTACACGCCTTCATTACCATCTATTATACGATCAAGTGGAAAAATAATTTTTGATCCTCCGTCGAAATCAACTCGTCTTCCATGCTCGTGACATGGCAAAATAAAATACAAGGCAAAACACGGCGCGAAGGGAGAGACGCGCGCAGCACTTAAAGTACTTTCGTCAAAGGGAACGGTCAGTCTACCTCCGGACGCAAGAATCGGAGATACCTCTCGTTACAAACAAGGTTACAAAGTTACAAAACCCCTCCCGCCGAGCCAAATTAATGATTGGAAAGACTTTTAACTACTCTCCATATGCTTATAAGAACACTTCATAAAACAGCTTTCTTTATATTATACTACACAATTTACACATTTATAATAAGGTTTACATTTTTACACAGCAATAATAATTGTTTTGTAGTCTTCATAATAATATACTCTATATACTCCCAACTGCTAAATATTGTCGCATATTAAGCATGTTTTTTTTATATTGACACCGTATGGTCGTTGGTGCCGGAATACTTTTTTATATTCACATAATTAATACTTTACCCTCGTCGAATCGCCGTACCTATAAGAAAAATCTGCTCTAGTGAACCGTTATTACTGTTTTAGTCAGTATTATTCCGAATACGTAATTAACCACAACTAAAATCTAAATTTGAATACTAAACTACCAGAATTTATAATAAATTTGCTTACGTGAACAATTAGATGTTTTAACTCACCGGTTATCAGAACTAAGTTCAAAGAATAATCTATAAATGCTGACAATATTGTCTTTTGTCTGGAATGACACTAAAGAAACACTAATAAAACACTTTCCATACCACATTAAAACATCGACTTCTAAAGCACATAAATACGTTAGAATTTAGACGATGATCACGATCATACGTACCTATACAAAAAAAATGTGTTAGTAAACAATAATTTTAGAAAAAATTATATGGCAAAACATTGGCGAAGTGTAGCAAACAGTTCTCCACGAATATTTATAATTTAAGAACCAATACCGTTAAACAAGCACTCAAACAATCACCAGCAGAATGACACTAGTAATTAAACAGGCGCAAGGCGCACTAAAAGAGGTCAGCACTAACAATGGTCAAGGTACCCCGGGATGATGCAGATATATGGAATATGAATACCGAATATTACTTTTAACGACAATCTAAATATATATGGAAATAACACGCCAACGCTTTCAACATCTTATGTCAAAATTCAAAGATTCTATTAGCCCATTAGCAAACATCTTCAAAATATCGACAAACATATTCACAATAAACGCGACGGTCTCGATCACAGTTGAAAAACAAAAAAAAACTCGTGCGCATGGAACAGATGATATTTACATAAATAATGCACGTAATAATAAAATATGATAAGGCATAAACATCTTAAGTATTCATTACGTAATATTTTTTATTTATTACACTATGGCATTGCAACTTTGTGACTCGATTGCGGCTACATGTGACCACAACCCGCGATATCCAATAAAATCAATCCGTCACTTGTACAGAGAATTCATTACTTAATGGATAATAGTCAAGGGGTGACAGCTTGCATAACAATTTAATTTTTATAAGTACGCAGAAAACCTTCAAAAAATTAATATAATTAAAATGAAGTAGCGGTGGTTAACAAGGGGTCACTATCCAGACCAAAATCACACGTACGTACTGTTAATTGAACCCGTGACCTCCTCAACGAGCGCCCATAGTGCTAGCCTTTGGGCCACCGAAAATATTAATATACAAAATATCGAAGTTTTGGGAAAAATTTTAAAATATTTAATAACAAAAAATTTTTTATTTTGTCCTTTGCTGTGAACCCTTGAATGTTCATCCACTATTTACATGACTTCCTGTATATAGACCGGAATCTCATTAAAAATCTTAGTCTCTTAGTGAATTGAATGAGATACGTTGAAAACCTTTTTCACAAGATCCTGATCGATCTTTATAAAAATAGTTTTCCAGCATTCAATGAAGGCTACACGATTATAAGAAGGCACATAGCAAGGTATAATACTGTCACCGTGTGTAACCTCTGACTGATCCCTTACTTTCTGTGTCGAATAATAGGCGTTGTAGCATCAGACACAACGATATCAATACGAAAATGGACCGTAAAGTCTGTATACAACAGATGGCGCTAATTTAATTTAAAACACATCTTATCTCGTATGGCAAATCTGCTACATTATTAAAATTAGCGCCATTTGTCGTATTTATACCTTACTATAAATAACATCCCATTATCGTTAGTCGCGTCGTGTCGTCTAATGTTACAACGTCCGTTGTATTATAATATCCAAATCAGAGACCATATTTAAAATGTCCGTTAACCTCGCTCGCCTGATGACGGTAAATAAAGCCTCCATTAAAAATTATCTACACAATATTCACAAAATAATATAAAGATGATTAGTAGTATCATTTACAAATAGATAGGACAGACCCGAGACTTGATTGTGATACAAATATCAAGAACTTTGAGTTTACCAGTCTAGTTAAAATTGTATAACATGCACTATTGTTGTTTACTACTTTAACCATCATTATGATTAAAATGTTAACAGTGAGATAGCATAAGATAATAAAGGAGCATTGCATGCAAAATCACACTCTCTTATCATTCGCTGGTCATACGGTTAAATGACGTAAAACTGTTTCAAGTGTTGTTTGGTATCGTTAATGGATTAGATAAAAAGTTGAGAACTATTTAACCTTCCTATAGAATGTAATTTTTCTCCTGCTTCCTTATTTTTTCAAAGAAACAACTCTTAAAAAAGTTTTATGTTAATTTCATCATTTTTGTAAATCATGGCTCCTTAAGACATTATGCTATCCCATATTAAGTGCTGAAGTAAACTCAGTACGACGTAAGGTGAAGTGGGCAGCAGTCACTGGCGAAATTTCCGTGAGACTGTTGAGGCGCGCTTTAGCCCGCGCGGAAGCCTCGCCGCTACCACGTCAAGGCATTATAGGTCCCTGCAATACAAAGGCAAGCTTAGATACCTCTAGTATTACAAATACATCTACGGAACAAAGTTTTAACAAATTATAACCTGTCCCTTTTGAAGATTGAGTAAAATGACAGTTCATTGCGCAAAAGTGTTGTTCGCTTGCAAGCAGCTAGTGATTAAAGTCGATAAATATTCTATCGACTACCGACTGAATGTGGATAGCGTTTATGCAATATATAGCAACCCGACAAGCGTTATTTTACTTCATCTTCAAAAAAGACAAGAGCTTTATAACTATTATACATATGCTGCTGACTGTAATTGGAATTACAAAGTGTTGTAATGTTCTTTTTTATTATTTCCAAGCTTAACCAAACTTCTACCTAATTTGTTAGTTCCTGAGCAGAGGTGATAGATAAGTTATAAAGAGATTCAGAAAGATATTATGAAATTGTTGCGGAGAAGGAGAAGAGAGAAGAGTTTTTATAAGCTTAATGCATGTTGAAAGTGTTTGGGCTGGGACTGTGGATGGCTAGTAGTGGATGTAATTTGCTACTAAAAAAACATCAAATGACCGTACCTACCTCATCCACGGCTGCGACGAGTTGTGTGACGGAGGCGATGGCTGGTGCGACTGCGTTGCCACCCTCTGCACCACCTGCAAAAGTGAAAACCAAAAGTGTTAATCTTTATCACTCCATTAACATCCAAAGTGTTAAGACACTATACTAAAAATAAGACGCTAAACTATATTGAAAAATCGAGAATAATTCACAATTCTATATATTCTGTACCACGTCATCTCTTTAATCAGCTATTATTATCACAGCTCTGCGTTATCAATAGTGTTATTACACAATAACTACTTTGCTGTATTTTGATTAATACGTAGAATAGGTAGCGAGCATAAAGATATGACTATCTACACTAAATAATGTACACATATTAAATAGATAGACATAGATACAAATTTAAGTCAATTTTAATGGTGAAACGAATTTGGTACATATTTTTTATTGCATGCAAACAAACCAACGTTTCG